ATTGAAAATGAGGAAAGCAATGAAATTAACCCACCTCAATAKAGCGTAGCCAGGAAGTAAAACAATACAAAGTCTTTTTGAAAATCATATATTAACCTAAACTACATCATTATTCAAATGTGTATATTTGCTATTCATTGGTTTAATTAATACATATATAAAAATGTTTTTATTTTTATTTTAAAAATTAATATAAAAAGTAATTAATAAAAACAAACTTCGGGTACTCCAAATAATTTAAAATTATTTGTATTGGTGTTTCAATTCCTCCATTTCTTCAATCTTTCTTCGATTTGTTTTTTCTTAAATCCAACTACTTCTCCTTAAAACCCATTTCTTGTTCAATTTTCTCCTTTTTCAGCTGTATCATTTCAGACTGAAATTGTAGAATATCTAATGACGCAGTTATGGAATACATTCCTTTACAAATTTACACCTTCGTTTACAGCCCCAAAAGATGCTGCCTCGTTGAGGTCGTAAAGTGGCTGAAACAAAAATGTCCTGTTATTTGAAGTAATACGAGTACTAGAGTAATACGAGTCTCAATTCTGATACGATTTACTAGTCATTTCGCTTCATTTAATGGTTTGAACCATTTACACAAATGCCCAATTGCCCTCAATACTATTTGCTTCACTTCTATACGCGCGCAGAAACAGTGAAATATTAATTTTATTTACAAAACAAAATCTTACACTATATAGTTTCGCCTTCCATACTCCCTGCACCCGTCGAACCCTCCCATGCTTTTGTTTTGTTATATATTATACGCATATACCGAACTGAAAACCTTCGAAAATAGCAAAGAAATTCGAATTTAAACACAAATGTAACGACAATGCAACAGCAAACTGATGTTAAAAGAAATCAGCTGATCAGTTATAAGGCGACGAATACTTAGCGTTCATAATTGTATTTGCGTAAACTTATTTTAGTATGCAATACAACAACAAATTTTTTAAACTAGTATAAAAATTTATGATTTTATGATTTTACGATGTTTTATGACACGTTGTGAGTTTTTGTAATTGTAAAATCGAAATAAAACAAAGATTATATGAAAATAGTAAAAAAGAATTGTATGGCAAATATATATATATCCAGTAAAATTATTAAATCAAACATACGAATTAAAAGTAAATTGAGAAAAAATTGTATTAAGCAATACTGAAAACTTAAATGAAATGAAATAATTAAAATATCATAAAAATTTATCAAGTAGTAGTAAAATACGGGTTCTAGATCACTTTTTCTTGCGGTTTTTTTGTTTTATGTATATATATATGTGTATGTCTGTATATACAGTTATGTGAAAAATAATAAGGACAGTGGACTGCGGTGAATGAAGTTTATGTGGCTCCAAAAATGGGAGGKAATTAAAAGCAGTGAACCAAGCTAAATTATTGTAAACATATTGGAAAAAGTTTTTTGTAGAGTTTTACCCAGATATGGCTAATTGTTTTACTTTATTTTTAATTTTTCTTAAAATCTGAGATATTATCATGTGAAAAAAAATAAGGACACTTCCAGTTTAACTAAAAAAACAACAATATTAAATAAGAAAAAAAGGAAATAGTTTTCATTCAATTGTGGTTAAATACATTTCTAAATTGTTTAATATTTTGTTGAAAATCGTTTGTTGTTTAAAACTGATTGACACCGCTTCGGCATGGAATCAACTAGATTGAGGCAGACGGAAACCGGGATTGCGTTCCAGAAATCCTGAATAAGTTGCCAAAGCTCGTCGCAGTTACTTAGGCACTTTCCTCTTATTGACGCTTTCATTGTATTCCACAAATTTTCTATTGGATTTAGATCCGGGGACTGCGGAGGCCACTCCATTACATCAATGTTATTGACCCTAAAACACTCTTTTGTACACTTAGCTGTGTGTTTCGGGTCATTATCTTGCAGAAATACCCACCTAAGGGGCATATTATCTTCAGCGTACTGTAGCATACATTCTTGAAGAATTTCTACATAATCGGTTGCCTTCATAATACCCTGTATGCGATGGAGCGGCCCCACACCGTTGTATGAAAACGATCCCCAGACCATAATGTTTCCGCCACCACGTTTAACGGTTTTTATGGTATATTTAGGATTGTAAGCTGCGTTTGGTGGTCTTCTAACATGATGAATACCTCGATCAGAATTAAACAAATTTATTTTTGTTTCGTCAGACCAAAGAATATTACGCCATTTCCCCTTAGACCAAAGCAAGTTCTTCAGCAAACTTTAGCCTTTGTTGCACGTTCTTTTTCGATAACATAGGCACTTTTCTAGGATTTCGGGACTTGAGATTTTCCTTAATGAGTACTTTGCGGATAGTTGACGGGTCAACATCAATATTCAAATCACATTTAATTTGTTTGGATGAGATAAATGGTTTCTTTTTAACACAGTGAATTATCCTTTTTTTGGTGGACAGAGTTATTTTAGGCTTCCTGCCGAGTGTTTCAATCTTGGGAATCCACTTAACTGCTTTTTCAACCATTGTTTTTGAAATATTAAGTAAATTCGCAACTTTTCTGTACGAATTCCCCTGTTTCACCAAGTTTTTAATATGTTCTCGAGATTTCGGATCGCAGTGCTTACCCTTCCCCATATCTATTCAATAAAGAAAAAAATCTGGTTCTAAATGATTGATATTAAAACTGAAAATATTATTCTTACCTTATCTCTGCAAATAAACACGTTTTAATAAAAGAAAATTCGATATTGTCTTAAAACGACACGATGTCCTTAATAAATCGCACAACCGAATACTGAATATGTTAAACACAGAATGACTAGATCCAAAATGTGTGCAAATATTTTGGGTTTGTCTAACGGAATTTGTTTATGTAAATAATGAGTGAAAAAAATATACCGTTAACTGGCGGCATTTTTCATGGCATACTAGGAATATTTTGAAGTTTTGGGTTTTTGTCCTTATTATTTTTCACATAACTGTATTTTCGGTTTTGTACTTTGCTCCATTTCTCCTCTGTAGTAGGTGTCCATTATGCAGGAGCGGCTCTGAGTGTAAGGTTCCCTGGATTCTGGACTGGCTTCTTGGAGCTGGCGACTTGTTGCTGGGAGCTGAGGGGCTGGCGGCTGGAGGCTGGGCGAACGGTTATGGGGGCGTGGGGTTGAGTGTGATGGGACTCCGGGACGCCTTTGTTTTGGTGAAAGCGTGAGGATTTTATGAAATTACTTATTTATGGAAGATAAGACATTTTTAACCACAAGTGTGTGCGTGTGAGAATTGCTTTTGGAAATTTAGCGGCTGGGGACTGACGGTTAGTATAAAAAAGACTAACAGTAAAAAGTATTTATTTCATTTTGAATTTTCGAAATGTTTGTGACGGTAGACGTTCAAGGCTTCAAAGCCTATGATAACAGATTTATTGTGAAGGAAATAGCTGTGAACTTTAATAATGAAGAATTTCATTGTTTCCACATCAAAGCTCCCTTGATTTTTCAGATCTGAATAAGGATAATCAACTAAAAGTTTATTGGTTAATCAAACACCACCATGGTTGATTGGGTTGGGCTTCGGAGGAACCCGATGAGGAGCCACCTCCACGCGGTGGGTTCTAAGTGACCAATACAGGTTAGTTGAGAGCTGCAACAATTTTCATTTCGTTAGCAAATTACGTGACAAATAACTTTTGTTTTATACATTTTGCCATGAGATGCCTATTTCAGGCGCTAGGTAGACAATTTCACGATTTTATGCGAATTTGCGAAATTTCAAGACCGGAGTTGGGGTTGAAGATGCAATCCGATCTCAAAACAAAAAGTTGCAAAACAACCGAACTGAAAAATATCACATCATATATTTATATAAGCTTTTTCATTAAATGGAGTAATTCTAAAGAAAATATATATTATAATTACATGTATATTTTCTTTTTTTTTATTAAAGTTTCTTGCATACTATCTATACGTTTTATACGTGAGAAAATCAATCAAACAACTAGCATCACCACCATTAACTGTTGTATCACACCACTGTGGGTGTGAAAAAAARAGGAACAACTACATGGTATTTTTTTAAAATGCGCTTTTTTTTATTAAATAAAATTTGTTTTTAAGTACAAATMTAACTTAGTTATATTTTTTTATTAACAATGATTAGAATTTCCCAACATCCAAAGGTGAATAAAAACAAATATTATGGCGAAACTCTAAAGCCTGGAAAATATTTTTGCTCACACAACTGTACAATTCCGATATGAAGCAAAATTCCGCTGTTTAATTTGTGTACAATGTCAGTATTGCCAGGAATAAAGGGATGTCCAACTTATTCCAGTGTGAGAGCGCTTCAAAATTAGTGTTATTATAACATTTTCCATTATGGCCAGATTGAACAAAATAATAATTTTTGGGCAATGATTTAAGCTTGTTATCTCTCATTCATTAAATTTTTATCATTGTATTGTAATAACTATTAATAATAATTTTCATCAAAACGGTCCAGATTCTTATAGCTTATTGAAAAAAGTTCGAAACTTTCGGATTAACCTTTATGTCAACAGAGCGTTACCCGGGTAACTTTTTTGCTTTTAAAGTGCCATATCTCTGGATCCGTAAGTCCGATCAACTTGAAATTTCATGMTTGCCTAGTCTGAAGGGTTTTACGTATTGTGGTTAAATCTGAGCCGGACTGGACCACCTGGAACTGAGATATGACCAAAAACTAACAACTATCCCTTACGTCAACAGAGAGCATACCCGGGTAACACATTGAATTTTCAAGCAACAATACTGAAAAAAAAGCGAAAAAATACATTTTTCTTTTAAATTCATTAATTTTTATTTCATTTATTAATAATAATATTATTTAATTTGACAATAAATTGAAAATTAAAATAATTTTATTACTATTTATGGGCAATTCATGCAGCGCGGCATATCCTTTGAGTGCTCTGAACAAATGGGCTTGCCGCAGAATGAGCATGCTTTTCGAGTCTGGCGTCTTCTGAGACATAAGTAGCAGGAACCCTTCAACTTTAGTCGGCCAGTGTTGCCCGCTCCTCTGCATCTGGTGGTGCCGTTTCCAGTCGCAAAGGTGCACCAGTTATAGCTTCTATTGCGTTGCGCGTTGAGAAAATTTTAGATATTTGCGGATTGGTGCACCTGACATCTACCTCCGCACGGGCCAGTTGCTCACTGAGATGGTGCAGAAATTCCCTGCTCCGTGCTGTTGACACCTTCATGTGTGGATTTTTCTCCATGTAAATAATATATGCGGCAAAGGCTGCGACATCCAGGATATTATAAAAAAACGCCAAAGGCCATCTATTTGTACGCCGTTTGGTGGAATACTCAGCAAGGCATTTGTCCATATTGTCAACRCCACCTTTGTACTTGTTGTAATCCATTATCATAGCTGGTTTACGTCTAGRACCAACAATTTGYRTATCATAGTGCATTGTAGATAGAAGCACAACAGCTTTGTTCTTTTTAGGAACATATGAGCACATGGCAAYGCTCTCACTGAATGCAAATATGGTGGATTCTGGTTGGCGCCCTTTTGCAATGGACAATTGTTTTGGCACAAATCTGCGGCGCTTATTGACTGTGCCCAGTATGGACAATTTGTGATCGTTCATCAATTGTTTTGCTAAGTTGTGTGTTGTGAAAAAGTTGTCACAAACAATGTTGCGTCCACTTCCACGCAACATGCCCACGCACAAGTCTTTCACTCCACTCTTTCACCCACATTTGCCTCACGTTCCCCGGACGCTGCCTTTACTGTGTAGATTTGGCCTTTGAGTGGATACGACGTAATCGAGTCGCACATCCACCACACTATTATGCCGTATTTGGCTGGCTTTGAGGGAATATATTGCGTAAAGCCAGTTCCTCCRMGGAACGGGTACAGCTGCTCATCAATTGTCACGTTGGCTGATGCGGTGTAATATTTTCGTAAATTGCTATTCAGCATCACAAATGTGTCAGATATGGCAGCCGCTTTGTCATATTGTTTGCGATGCTCCCGCGTGATTCCATTATCAAAACGGATGAAACGACTTATTTCCCAAAATCGTCTGACGCTCAATGAAGCTCGAAACAGTGGATGTGCAGTTGTCTTCCACAAATCTTTTGTGTGAACGTAGCCAGAGTGAGTAACGCCAACAAGCAGCAACAATCCCAAATATGCGTCGAATTCTGTTTCTGTTACTGCTTTCCAAATACGTCGTTCTGATGTTGGGTTGCATTCGTTTATTATATCAAACACTGTATTGGCTTTTCTGTTTGTTTCACGGATTATTACGTCACACATTTCGTTTGTCATTATTAGCTTGAACGTTTTCATTATAGTTTTACCATCAGTTAGGCGACTTGGCCCGTTCTCTCCAGATCTTAGCACGTTGTGCGCTCTTACTCTGGTGTTTTGTGGTTGTGTGCCACTCCAAATTGTCTGATCACTGCTTGTGTAACTAGCAGAATTTCCTAGTGTTTTCCTGGCTCTTCATCTATATCATCGTCACTATCATACTCTGGATTGTATTCAGGCGGCTGTACGTCTTCCACATCAGAGTCCGCTGAATTTATAACAGGCTCATTGTCGTTTTCATTTTCAAATGTCATCGGCTCTTCATCGCTATCTGGACACCCATACTCCTCTCTTCTCTCCCAGATATTTTCAWRAKATTCATATTCAAATTCAGGCTCTAACCAACCTCCATCTGCCATTTTGTAATTATTTTTGCACAACACAATCTTTACTTTTTACCGTAGGGTTTCGGTTGTAAAATAGAACTCAGCTCCTTTATTTATATCCTAATTCATGTATGCACCACATGCTGAATGCATACACACATCTTAACACTAATCTACTGTACGTACCGATAGTATGTACACATATCTTAAGCATAAGTGTTTTCAAGGGCAAACATAATGGTCTATTGTTAGTTTAAGGTCATTTGCGATCTTCAGGGTAAACATAATTGTTTTTTAGCTATTATTCGTTTAGGATCATTTGCGGTCTCAACGGCAAACAATCCTTTACATTGCATACATTAAATACTAAGGTCACTAATCAATATACCCGAAATCAACATTTATTACACTGTTGATAGAAAAGGGTATTTGTAAATACATATCTATGTTTAAGACTAGATTCGTATGCGCCGGCGATAATGAATATAAATATTTGAACTATAATATTTGTATCCTTACAAAAATATCTTCTTTACAATTATAACGGTTCAGAAACCTGAACAAAACCTCCTTTTCACTTTACGCTACACTAATCTTCATACAAAATGTGTGGTGTTACCCGGGTATGCTGTCTGTTGACGTGCGTATGTAAAACTCTCTGTTGACATAAAGGTTAAAGACGTGTATACAGGACAACGTCTGTCGGGTCCTTGTATTTTAGATATATTAATCAATGTTTGTGTTGTGTTGTTTCCTAACTCATCTACGACTTGAATTGTTTTTAAAAATTTTTCCGCCCCATCTAAAAATGGTTTTTGCTCTGGGGAACCTGAAACTGCTATTAAAAATATCCAATAATTTATTTAAAAAGCGTTAAAAAAGATATGGTGACATTTTAACACCAAACAAATTAGCCACATTTTGAAAATTGATACCCTAGTCACAAGCAAAATGGCAAGGAACTAGTCCTATATTTTGAAGTTAATGGCATCAAGAATATATTTCTAGAAGCCATCCTCTTTGCATGAGCCGTTAACAAAAAATAAGCATACTGTTAATGACATGTCAGTGACATTTCATCACAAGAAACTGATATGAAATTTTTCTTTTGCAAAATACACCCAAAGCTATGGTTTGAAAAAAAATATCATAAAAAGCACCTAACTGCAAACTATCTCAAGAGTATCCGACTTTTCCCTAAATTAATTATTTCTTAACATTTCCCAACATCTTTCTAATGCAGTCCCCATTTGGACCAACTGAGCCTTTAAACTTTTTTTTCTATCAAAATTTTTTTTAACTCCTATTCTCTTGAGCATTTGTACAACTCTGGTATGTGAAACTAYCGGAATAGATGACTTTTTGAAAGTATTTTCAACCTTTTTTGCAACTATTTCTGTAACCTTTTTACTCCTAGGTTTATAGTTGTCGCCTCGGAGTCGCCGTATACGAAATATTTCAAACTGATAACACAAAAGAACATCCTGGTAAGTAGGTAACTGGGACTCAGAGAGATTGTACGGATATATGCCAAACACAGGACATTTGAGTCCTGTGTTCTGTTGAGAGAATATAAGTGATAGCATTCGGYGAAATCAACGACAAGAGTGAAGGAACTCGATGAAAAAATATTTATGTTGACACCTATCCCAACGTGTCGTATGGCGCAGGGAAATGAATGTAAGTGATAGAACTCGGCGAAATCACCGACAAGAGTGAAGGAACTCGTTGAAAAAATATTTGTGAGGAGTCCTATCCGAACGCGTCCTGTGGCGTAGGTGAATGAATGTGAGTAATAGCGCTCGGCGAAATCAACGTCAAGAAGTGTGGCCGCAAGCCGATTTTTACCTTGCGCTGTGGCGCGCCGCATTTTCGCTCGAATCTCGGAAATGGTTCGTCCTACGGCCATGATCACAAGCATTTCGGTAGCAAATGACGTGACAAATAACTTTTTTTTTTTTTTATACATTTTGCCATGAGATGCGTATTTCAGGCGCTAGGTAGACAATTTCACGATTTTAGGCGAATTTCCGAAATTTCAAGGCCGGAGTTGGGGTTGAAGAGGCAATCCGATCTCAAAACAAAAGTTGCATTGGAATCAGGAAGTACTAAGGCATCTTTTAGGCACTATTAGAAATCCCGAATCGAAAAAAGTCCGGAATCGACCCACCCTAGTACGTACGAATGTACTTTCATTGGAATAAATAATTTTTATTTCTTTATCTTAAAGTTAAGGCCACTGACACCGAATTTCGGTAGTAAATTTTAATAATTTCGACTGATTGGATTGTATATCTCTCCATGAAGGGAAATGTCCGAAGAGCGAGAAAAAATATGGAGTGTTTTGCTGCCCTTATTGGTCTACTTTTGTAGCGCAGCTATTGAAACCCCTTTACTATAAGTAATGATTTTCGTTATTTTAACAAGCCTTCTTTGATCCTTGCAACTTGAAGGAATATGTTCGCTTACACACGAACTTAGTCGCTTCTTACTTGTATATTATAATTTGTATGTAGTGTCTACTCAATTATATAACAATCAGAGTTTGCTTGCGCATATTGCCAATGCAGTGGAGAGCGTATTACGGCGATTGCTTTACATAAGTGTGAAAAAGCACAAACGAAATTTATGACCTTATCAAAAAACCTAATATATCGAAAATTTTTGTTGACCGTTGTTTCGTTTTTCTTAAATATCTAAAGTTGCTGACAGAAAGAGAAGTGGTCGTCCTTGAGTAGTTCGGACCGATTCAGCCATAACAATTGTCTGTGAACCTTACAAAGCTTTGAATAGATAAAAAAAAAAAAGAACAAAACCTTCGCAAAAAATTATATTCAAAGGGTTCAACATGGTCATAATTATTTATTACACCTCTTCATTTCCGTGGCTTAAAACTGCAGCAACAGCAGGAGGTTTTAGAAGGCGTGATGAAGCATTAAATCTTCCAGCACGATTCTTCTTCGGCACAACTACCGAGCGGTAGCTTTAACTCCTATAGGCTCTTGTTTGTGGACAGAATTTGAGAAAATGAGCTGTCGAATMCACAGCTGTTTAAACGAGTTAAGCATCCACGCCCTCTACCCGGTAAAACTGGCGCATCCTAATGCAACAGCGCAATTCACCACAGCTGATTACTACAACCCAACTCACCACACCTGTACCACTACACAAAAAGGATGGACAGCAGGATAAGAAATATCAATTCGTCACACACTATCCGCATGGCAACATTCTTCTGCAAGACATTCATATATACACTGCGCCGCGTTAACACCTCTACGCCGATATATAATTCACCGGCCCTAAGTGAGTTAATTCGAGTCGTCGGTAATCTGGAGCGCTACATCAAGATTGACACATCAGTAACCACCGGTCTACATCGAATCAACACCATCTCTCGTTGCGTCATCTGGACACCGTCTCGCATTTATTTATAGTACATTTATCTTATTCTTTACAAATTTTCTGGTAAATACTACCTGATCCATTAAAATCATTTTAAATATAAATTCCACTTACATTTCGTTTTTAATAAAACGGTAGTGAGTGATATATATTGGAAAAAGTAAGTAGTGGGTGCACTTAAGTAGACATGGTCCGTCGAGCCTCGCCGAAAGGCACTAGTGGAGAAACAAAAACCACATATAAATATAGATGTGCGGTAAACAACAAAAACTTATATACATTAGGGTAATTCAAAAAAAACATTTTTTTTTTTTTCTATTAGGTACTCTAAAAAATAGGGTCCTAGACACCTCTAGGGTAGCCTCTCCAAGAATGAATTTTTAATTGTAACGGGAAGGTCGTCCTACTTACAGTTTTATATTTTTTCTTATTATCAGATAGAAAAATTTATATCTCGCATCCAGCTACTTGAAAAAATATTTTGTTACTTACCTTTTGTAGAAAATTGAATGCTCTACAAAAAAGGTCTCTTACGATTTTTCGTAAACCCAACCGTTTAAAAGATATTAACGGTTAAAATTTTATTATTTTTGGGAATTTTTTTTCTTCTTATGAATTTTATAACTCAATGAAAAAAATCATTATGAATAATGAAACTCATAGTTTTGGATGAAATGTACTGCTCTATAAAAATGCTCTCTTATGATTTTTCGATTAAGTTAAGCATCGTTGGRATTACGAAAAACTCGTCCAGACCTTTTTTGTAGAGCATTCCATTTCCTACTAAATCTAAGGAACAAGATATTCTTTCAAGTAGTTGGAAGCGAGATATAAATTTTTCTATCTGATAATAAGAAAAAATATAAAACTGTAAGTAGGAGGACCTTCCCGTTACAATTAAAAACTCATTCTTGGAGAGGCTTCCTTAGAGGTGTCTAGGAACACATTTTTCAGAGTACCAAACGAAAACAAATTAAAAAAAAATTGTTTGAATCATCCTAACCCTAACGGTGCGTTTTTCAGTCCAAATGATAGTCGTAGAAGTTATATTTATCATTATTTATTGAAAATTCTGTTTTTTTTCCCTGTCTTCTTTTTTTATTTTAATTTAATGAAATCCTGATTCCGAATCTAACGTCGTGAAGTAATGTGCTTCTCCTAAGTTTTGGAGCATCATGGTGATGTCCGAATGTGATATCAATCAGAGATGTTTTG